TCCAACCTAATGCGATCGAAAACTGCTTAACAGTCTGGCCATTTTATAGATCTAGACACTAGCGTTTACATGATGATATCTTTGACCAAGATATAAATGGACATAGATTGAATATTTTGTCTTTGATTCTATAGTTATTTCACTTGTGTTGATAATGTACTTTAACAAAATTACTTCCTTTTTATTCATTTTTTTTCTTGAACTCCGCAATAAGTTTATGTGAGTTTTTTCAGATACGGCTGGTGCAGTTTCAGCAACTCATAGTCTGACTAACTAATGTTTTATATTTACAGTGTCATTAACTCTTGTTTTAATTTGGACACGCATATCATATTATCATCGTCAACAAACCTTTTAATTGCAAATCAACTCCTTTCATAACTTCTGTCTTTAGCTGTACTGACAGTGACAATAAGCGATACTTATATTAAATTTTCTTAATTTCCACTTTTTACTTCGCATCTTTCAAACCAATAGCTATTCTTGGAAACTGCCGCCTAGTCACGTTTACTTTTTTGGCCAAATTTATGAGTACAGCACATTCATTTGCCCTCTATATAGTGTTTATGACAAGAGCACAACACAATATACTCCATAGTTTCTTTTTCTCATGTCAATTCTTTCGTAAATTTATTTGATAAGTTGCACTTTTCATGGAACGAAGTTGTGGGACAATTTATACTAACAATCTTTTTCAAATGCACATTAATGTATTTATAAATTAGCTGATTATATATATATATATATATATATATATATATATATATATATATATATATATTCTATCTCTGCTTATAATCTGATATATCACACGTCACGGAAGCCAGCACAATAGAGCAAAGATAAAATAAAAAAATAAATATTTCACTATCATCCCGTACTCTCTTTAATAACATGTCTTTAATAAAAAGGTCACATTTTCAGTTTGGCTTCGTTATTAATCTACTCAGGTCGTTTGGAAAGCTGTTGCTAATCTGAAATATTACATGCAAATAAACGGTACATATTATTTCTTACATAGCACCAAAGCAGATAAAATGTTTTTCATTTTGTAAACCTTTTCTTCTTACAGTTGTACCTTAGTGTTTTATTCAAGAAACGCGGAGTGGGTACTTTGGTACAAATATCGATTTTCACATAAAAAGAAAACGACGAAGTCCAATCACATTTGCCTAGGGAAGGCTTTTCTTAGGATTATGAGAGCCCTCTTAGGGTAGAAATGAGACACAATTAAATACCTCCCCGCTATTTGGAGTTTAGTTATTTAACTGAATGCCTATTTTACCTTACATATATACTACCTCACCGTGCAGTAATTTCCTAATAGTAATTTAGTATTAGTGCTTATCACTTTAAAGTTTTGACAGCGAATTTTGCGAAGTCTTTTGATTCAGGCCTTAAGATATTTATAACTGAGCTATTGTACAAAACCTAATTGATCAGTATTTTGGATAAACTATGTACCTAATTGATCAGTATTTTGGATAAACTATGTACCTAATTGATCAGTATTTTGGATAAACTAGGTACCTGAGATATATTGAGTATGTTATATACGAATCGATTTTATCTGTCACACCCTTCAACATGACAATCTTCTCAGATATGATGTGTCAAGGATCAGAAAAAAAATCATTTTAATTTCTTGCATTCAACCGCTGCTTCGAATCTGAAATTGCATTATTTTGATTATTTTGCTTTCAGACCCGTTTAGAACACAAATATACGTAATAGCGCAGTAAGTTCAGCTGAAGGAGAGTTTTGGACACTTATTTCACAGAAGTATTTAAAATAAGACGAATGTTTGTGTCTAGCATTTTACAAAATGTTGAATAAAATGACAATGTTGTCGACAAAGTACTTTTCTCCATGTTCCTGTGCCAAATCATTCATACCAATATTTTCCTGTGCCATATCATTGCCACCAGTATGTTCATGTGCCAAATAATTTTTACCAATTGTTTATGTGCCAAATCATTGTTGCGAACATGTTGATCTGCCAAATCATTGTTACCATTCAAGCCGATCTGTTGAAGTGATAGAATTAATTCATCATAGAATCAAGAGAAAGATCGAAGTTAATACCTTGTACGACTTCCTAACCTGATTATATTGGTTTCATTCCAAATTCACCGTGACTGTTCTTTAACTTCACTGTGCTTGTACGTGTGCGTCCTTTTCACTTTTCCATTCTCCAAATTCTCAAATATCGAGCCTCTTTATTCCTCGAATTTTGTGAGGGAGGATATGTAACTACGTGATCAATTGGTTAATACGTCACGTGGAGCTATCTCTCTTCACAAAAATAAACAAGTAAGCAATCTAAATATTATGTTAGGTATTCTACTGGGAATAGATCATTACTCTCCTCCCGTTATGTCAGATATAGTTCTATCGGAATTCAAACAGATACAAAAGGCTATCTGGTCTAACTAAACATAATAGACCAGAAACAAACATAGTTTCACAAGATTAATGTACCTTCTAATGGTTATTTCAATACTGGCCTACATTATCATCACATCCAGACATCAGTTCCGGTCTTGTCTCCATTACACAAATGAAGGAATGCAATTCATGACACATATTCAGGTCTCTAGCCTCTATGAAACCGTCCTCCAAGGTTTAACAACGCTAATTTCTGTCAATACGCACTCAAGTTTTTATTATAAGTAAAATCATCTAAGGTCGGAAAAATTCAGACGGATTCTCGTAACTCATATCAAATAAATAAGGCACGAAATCTTTAGACATATATTTTCCTATAGCAATCAAAACAACATATATAAACGATTCGTCAAGCTTATATAAAGAATATCATTGTACTTGTTTATATAAATGAAATCAGAGTTGTATTCATATCAAGAAATTTGCCCTACGAATCCATAAAAATAATTTCAAACCCTAACACCATATATATATATATATATATATATATATATATATATATATATATATATTTATATATATATATATATATATATATATATATATATATATACACACATATATATAATTTTTTTTTATTAATGTGCTGATTTAATGCAATTTGATCAATAATGTTGGCATATTAAAGTGTGATCCTCCCCTCATTTATACATAATAGGATATCACTTCGATACTCGCTAGTTTTCAATGATGAATGTCCACTGAGTAATCATTAAAGACACAAAAAAGAAAAAAATAGATCAAATAATTCACGCTTGATAGTTGAATCAGACATTTCGTTGAAAACCGCTTTCCGTTCTCCGTCTTTCTGTTTGTCTCTCTCTTTCTCTCTCCTGTCTCAAAGATAGGCTGGTTTAAAGCAATTTGATGAACAATTTTTGTATATCAAAGCGTGATCCTCCCCTCATGTGTAAATAGTAGGTATCACTTAGATACTCACTAGTTTTCAATGAAGAATTTCCACTGAGTAATCATTAAAGACAAAAAAATAACGAAAAAAGATCAAATAATTTACGCGTTATAGTTGAATCAGACATTTCGTTGAAAATCCCTTTCCGTTTTCCGTCTGTCTGTTTGTCTCTCTTCCTCCCTTTCTCCCGTCTCTGTCTGTCTGTCTGTCTGTCTGTATGTCTGTCTGTCTGTCTGTCACTGTCTCTGTCTCTGTCTCTGTCTCTGTCTCTGTCTGTCTCTCTGTCTCTGTCTCTCTGTCTCTGTCTCTCTCTCTCTCTCTCTCTCTCTCTCTCTCTCTCTCTCTCTCTCTCTCTCTCTCTTTCGTCAATAAGAAACATAATACGTTCAAATCTGTGGAGTGAGAAGATAATTAGGTCCTGATGAAATCTTTGAAACAATTCGCGCCAAGTAAGCTACAAGAAGCTAGGGCATCGTAACGGAATATGTACACATTCCAAAGAGTTTAAATAGTGTTATGATACCAATGATACAAAGTTGCAATTATCTGTCGATACTGCTCAAATATACAATAAAGATCTATAATATTATTCTTAAAACCAGATTGGATTTAAAGTGTAAGATGTCAGAAGAATTCTCTTCCCATCAACCTCACTTGACCAACAAAATTGGAAGGGTCTGTCTGTCTGCCTGTCCGCCAGATCTCTCGCCCACCTCATTTATCCATCCGTCCATCGATCCATCCATCCATCTATCTATTTATTAAGGCTAGTTGGCCGAGAGCTCGAAAGCAAATCGCCTTTGCCAATCACTGCCATTCCACCTCTGTCCACATGAGTTCAAGCCTCAAACTTGACCATTGTGGGTATATAAGAACACCTGTCAATAGCTTGATATCGCCAGGTAGGGCTTACTTTGTGCTGAGGAATAGCGTTAAACTTCATAGCAACATCAACAATCTGTCTACCTATCTTCCTCTTTATATATATATATATATATATATATATATATATATATATATATATATATATATATATATATATATATATATATATATATATATATATATATATATAATTTTCCGTTCAACACGCATCTGTGTGGACAAAAGGTTAACCGTGATGATGTGCGCTAATTTCAATGCTGAATGGATATCAATTCAAGGCAAACCACAGAGAAAGCTGTAACAAAGCCAGTTTGACATTGGATGCGACTGTATCAGGTACACCCTATTAGCGCCAAATTACACACCAGTCCCGTAGCATTATTGTCTACTACAGTTTCATCCCTGCCCCATTTTAGGCATTGTAGCACAACCCCGATCCATAATTCAAGGTGTATAAAGACAGCCTATAATTACAGGATTTGATTTCTTATTTTGTGAACACAAAATTTGTAGGTTGATCCGCATGCAATTTAAAGTGAAACTCGTGATATCATGCTATACCTAGCAGTAAGTGCATCTCTCTCTCTCTCTCTCTCTCTCTCTCTCTCTCTCTCTCTCTCTCTCTCTCTCTCTCTCTCTCTCTCTCTCTCTCTCTCTCTCTCTCTCTCTCTCTCTCTCTCTCTCTCTCAGGAAATTAATGTATAGGACATATCAAATTAAACAAAATTTAGCCATATTGTCACCTCTTTGTTGGACCGCTTCAGTGGCCTATTGGTTAGAGCGTCTGCCTTGGATGCGGGAGGTCGCAGGTTCAAATTCCGGTCGAGTTATACCAAAGACTTAAAATAATGGTACTCATCATTATGAGGTTAGTATTAGGACTAGTCGGTCTGTTGTCAAGATAATATGACTGGATGGGCATGATGCTACGTGTCTGCGGCATGATGCTCCAGTTTTAGACATCACTATAAATTGTCACGGTGCAGACATGATTTTACAATAGCTGCGGTTTCTTTGCAAAATAACTGATGATATTTATTCCCCAAAAGTTTCATCAATGTTAATGAAATGTTGTTGTGTAGAATCTAATTCGAATACTAATTCTCATTTCTCAATAACGGATTAAAAGATAACACTTTAAACGTACTTCTCCAGTTTCAAAATCTACTATTTTGGATCTGCTTCGTGATTTCGGGGACCACACATTTTAATATAGTAAACAAATATGGGCACCAACAAAGAATTTGGGACATATATTTGAGAAAATTTTTCAATTGGATTTCTTCCAAACAGAAATTTGAAATACCGTTTTCGTCTACTTTTATGCAAAACATATTTGTTCACTGATAAATTTACATGAGAATGATTTATATCGACGGCATGAAATACGACACCTAACCTAGATGAGCGGTAACATTGATAAGCTGACATTATCTGATAAATGCGCAAAATATTATTTCTGACCCAGAGCTACCAGAGCAATGAAAATTCTGCAATTTGCTGGAGTTTCCAAAGGTGTGGTCGGTCTAGATTAAGATGATTCCTGGCATCTCTTGATTGTACATTTTATTCGTCGTGCGTTTGCAAATGCCCTTGACGCACATAATCAAAATACGGATATTCTAATATTTTCATTTTTGAATTCGGTGCGGGTTCAACAGTCAGAAATATGTTTGAATTCTGTTAAACAACACAATTCAGAAGCAAGAAGTTTGAACTTCCAAAAGTCTCCTAGTCTGATTTATGAGTTAAAAAGAGAATTTACGGTACACGAGGCATGTTGCGAGGATTTAGTTTCGCCATATGTTACAGAGGAGGGAACAAAGACAGATAAGATACAATGATAAGTAACGATAATGTCAAAGATAGCCTTGATCTCCATATAGATGATGCCAGAGCTATAGCTAGTTAAATACAGGGATTTGCCAGTATTTTTCCAACCTTGTTCAAAACAGAGCTTACACAATTTGCAATAAATTATTTTCTGTTATGGGAGATAGGTGAGATAAGTAGATGGGGTGGGGATGCATTTGGGACATAATGCTTTCGCAATGTAAACTGGCGGCATTGTAAAGCTATGAACTGATGATATGTGTTTGAAATAGTTTCTATATTTTTCATGTCCGTCTATTTCCCTGAGAATAAAATGTTCTAACTGAAGTGTCATCATTCAAGTTCTCGCGATAAATTATTTATTTATTTATGCATGCATGCATGCATATGTATGTATGTATGTATGTATGTATGTATGTATGTATGTATGTATGTATGTATGTATGTATGTATGTATGTATGTATGTATGTATGTATGTATGTATGTATGTATGTATGTATGTATGTATGTATGTATGTATGTATGTATGTATGTATGTATGTATTGATGCATGCATGCATACATGGATAGATGGATGGATGGAAATAGTTGTGTAAAACATAACAGATATATGTATCTATTATAGTCACATGTGAGGAAAATGCATAAGAACTCAAAATGTAAAAGGGACAAAATGAACACTAGCAAGCATCTTAGAGATATCGGAAACAATAACGTTTTACTGTCACTCACCTTGCCCGTGTCCTCAAAAATTTTTTCATTTGAATAAAAGCTCAGATGAATTTGCGAAAGCTGTCTTCATATTATATTTCTGATTTAACCATTCTATATCTTTCTTGAAGTAGACCAGAGTTGTGTCTGAAATTCTATAAACACATATAAATTATGGCAATCATATGGACGCCGGACAAAACTATAGGTATTTTAGAACACGATTATCTGTCTAAACAGAAAATCATGTTCAGTGTAGCTGAAGTGGCATCGATGGACGTTGGACAAAACTATAGGTATTTTAGAACACTATTATCTGTCTAAACAGGAATTCATTTTCAGTGTAGCTGAAGTGGCATCGATGGACATCGGACAAAACTATAGGTATTTTAGAACACGATTATCTGTCTAAACAGGAATTCATGTTTAGTGCAGCTGAAGTGGCATCGATGGACGTCGGACAAAACTATAGGTATTTTAGAACACGATTATCTGTCTAAACAGGAATTCATGTTCAGTGTAGCTGAAGTGGCATCGATGGACGTCAGACAAAACTATAGGTATTTTAGAACACGATTATCTGTCTAAACAGGAATTCATATTCAGTGTAGCTGAAGTGGCAACGATGGACTTTGGACAAAACTATAGGTATTTTAGAACACGGTTATCTGTCTAAACAGGAATTCATGTTCAGTGTAGCTGAAGTGGCAACGATGTAGTCTGTCGTCTTCATTCGGTGAATGCAATAAAGCGTAACCTTAAACAAATACAGTTAAGAGCTCTCATTTCCGACATTCAGTGTAATTTCCTCTACATTGAAACATGCATATGAATATACTAAACAAACTATTAAGCCCTGAATAAGTGAAAAAAATATACTTGTAGAAGAATACCATTCATTCCAGAGGCCCATAAAGTTTGTCTGATCATCAATGACCTTTTGGATTGTTTGAGTTCGTTATCCTTGTAGTATCTTTCAACAGAATGTTTGAAACGCCAATTCTTTCATTTATATTCCTGGCATTAACTGGAGAAAGCAACTGAATTACTGTATTTTATTTCATGTTTGAGAAAGACGAAAATTCTTTGAGACATGATAATTCAAGCATGTAAACGTGAAATGTTGACAAAGATATGTGAAGAACAGAGACAACAGTTCAATTTGAAGTGGACTTCTTGCAGAGATCAGAAACACTTCGCAAGGTCAATATAATACGATCGAAAAGAGAGGTATGCTATAAACAATGTTTTGATTGTTATTATGAATTGTCTAATAACTATTTCTTTTTAACATTTGTCATTGCTAGTCTAAGTGGTCAGACGTTTTAATGATATCTAAGGAAGAAGTTTGTACTTGTTGCTGCTATTAATGTTGTTATTGTATGTATGTGTCTATAAATGTTTAATTTAAAAGCAATCAACATTCATCAATTAATGTTTTACATGGCTGTGCTAATGTGAAATCCTAATTAGGAAGTATATTAGATTAATGTATACATGTTCGCATTACTGTAACGCTTTGAACACTCATTCACAGGAAGTGATGCCTTTGACATGACTTTGGTGTCTGAGGTTAAACAATTTCTGTATGAATTTGGTTTTGACAGTCCATGCTACCCCAGCTACCAAAGACCTCAAGACAGTCGTTGGCAAATAGAGATTCTTAACAGCCAACACACTACTAATAAATATCTAATTACTTAATGACCACACATCATGAAATTCTATTAATGTCAGCTTTGCATGGTTTTTCTTGTTCGACATTTGTATGGTCATCAGTAAGCCTTTTTGGGTCGAATATTAATACTTCCACCATGGAATAAAAACACAAACTAAACACATAATATAAAGAATTGTTTCTATATTACGTTACCAAACAGATAGATATAAAATATCCAGATAATTCCCCGTGTTAGTTTGGGAGGGTCAATTTTAGGAAACTAATTCATGATATCATAACGTCTTGTGAATACTATATGCTACTAGAAATTGACCAATTACTCGGTTTGAGAATATCTTCCCATCCCCGACTATTGGGTTGAATAAATTGTCACAAAAAATGCAAGAAAGCTACAAACGGAGACATATATATATATACAAATGTCACACCTTATGTTTTTTTTTTAAATACCTATAGTTAGTAAATTATTTTTCTTAGCGAGGTAATGCATGTCAGAAAGAAGCATGGGAGTGTTTCGTCCATCATATCTCAATCCAGTCACCCATAATGGTGTCATCACTATTGAAAGTGAGACCTAGGAGAATCATCTTCAGGATCTACGAGCAGTCTTGGAGAGACTGCGAGAAAACAATCTGACAGTTACTATTTTTTGCATTAGTCACAATGGGTACTGATGCCTGACAGGGTCAGACAATTTCGCTTCCATGGAGAAAATCTCCTTCCGTGTTCAAAGTAATGTATCTTGAATACTGCGGCAAAGTTTAAGGATATTCATCCATGAATAGGACAGCTACAGGCTTTTATCTGACACCACTGTAACACAAGGACAAGCCAATTCCAAATGGTCGAATGTCAAAAATGCATAAAACCTTAAGTTAAACTGTGATTTTGCTAATCAAGATAAACACTTCAAAGAACTGTAATTGGCTTTTAATACTAACACCAATCTGGAAAGTACTAAAAATTAAACTTGACAGTTCAACTTTCCTAGAACATTTAATAAAAAGATATACATATATCTATATAAAAATTTAAATTTAACTTAATCTTTAATGAAAATGTAAAATCTGATGTTGACAAATTTTATTCTGTGGCAAAGTCTCTCCATTCCTTTATCAGAAACATCAATGGTTTTCCTTGTCTGGTATAATGCAATTCAAACAGGGCCTGTGTGTCAAAGGTAACACCTTCATATACAAGCTATAAACTATACTAACCAAGAAAATGAAATTTCCAACCATGAAGGGGATGAGCCCTCATATATTAGGCTTCCAATACTATTGAAGAGTTGGTGTAGCTCTCTGAAACTAAGCTAGCATGCATTTTCCTAGGTATATAAGTGACATAGATGATACTTCTTGTATTAAATTTACATGCAGTTATTGTAACAGAAACCATGAAAGGATACAAGAAGAAGAAGACGACTTTTTTAAACAGGGATATATTCCACATAACAAAGGAGTCAGATATCTGACTGATGATAATCTAACAACTTCCATTGCTGCATCTGTTCCAGAGACCAGAAGAATGGATGCAGACAAGTTCACTCTCATAGCAGTGACAAAGCTAACAAATGGGGGTTTCTAGTCAACAAACTTTAATG